TGCTCCTGCCAGTTTTCCCTCCCCCCGCCACCAGGGGTGCTGGATGGAGCAGGCAGGGTCTCCCATGAACTCCCAATTGAGACCCACGCAGGCAAAGGATGCTCAGTTGGGTGGATGGGTTGGGGCTGCAGGTGAAAAGTGCCAAGGCCAAGATCGCAGGGGGTGACAATGCAGGGCCTAGGCCTGGGGCACAGCCATGATCTGCTCCCTGCGCATCCCTGTGATAGGCGCTTGTTCCTTCGGCAGGGAAATGCCAGGAGTGGATTGCAGGTCTGCCCTGGGTCCTGACCCCACTCTATCTACCACCCCGCAATCCTGGCCCTGCTCACCCATCCTACTCCTGGACACCACTCCCCACCCACTCACAAGGGTCCCGAGCCGGTCTCCATGGATACCCTGCCTGACAACTCCCTCCAGCACCCCCAGTGATGAGTGCAGGGCGGATAGCCTAGGGCTGTACAGGACCAATGCATCCCCCCTCCAGCCCTCAACACCCCACACCAGGCCACATCAGCACTCTCTGCGCTTCCCTCCAGCCCGCAACAGATCACAGAAATGTCTTCAGTGATCCTCCAGTCCAAATAACTGTCCACCCCTGCTCTAGCCCAATGACACCAGAAGTGATAGGGAAGGGGAAAAGATAAAGAGAGAGAGACCTCTGTTTAGACTTAGCACTAAGAATTCACTTACTTTTTAAAATGATGTATGAAATTCAATTAAAATGTTATTTTTATGAATTAAAACATTAAGTTGTTTTTAAATAAATGTGTGATCAACAGGGAGCCTGGTTTTCTCTGTTAAAAAGCCCTAGTGTTCCGATTTAAAAAAAAGTGACCCTAAATCCACATTTCTCCGTGATTAAAATGAAACACCACTAATATATATATCTAGATCTAGATATGGTGTTTCATTTTAATCATGGAAAAATGTGGATTTGGGGTCACTTTTTTAGCCTGAAAATTAGGGATTTTTTTTGTTTTTAAATCAGAGAGAACCAGGATCCCTGATGATAAATTTACATTACTACTGCTTTCATTCTACTAAAAACCAATACCACTAAGGGTTAATTGCAATCAGACACAGTCTAATAAACATGAATAAATTTTAGCAAACCGTGTCATTTGGGCCAAGTACAGACATTACACTTTTACCAGTCTAAGTAATCGGAAGCCAATCCAAACCCATAACAGAACAGAAGTTCCATGCACATAGGCTGGTCTAAAAATGGCAGAACCCAGTGTAAATTAGACCTAGATTGATGTGCACTCAGACTTAATCAACTTAGTGCATTAAACTTCAGTACCAATTCCCCTATCAATTCAAGTTATGTTGCCATCTGCCAGCATCCCAGGCTCCTTTACACCCCCTGCTGCCCCCCCCCACCCCTTGCAGGGAGGTACACTAGCACTCACCCATCCTTGGCTGCTCCAGCCAAGGGCACAGCTGGCCCTGCCCTCCTGGCTCTCCCAGACCCGAGCCAGCACAACCCCTCTCCCCAGTTCTATCTCCTGCCTCCTCAGCTACAGCCAGGCAGTGGTGGGCAGGGTGCTGAGGGTAGGTGGTAGAAATGGAGGCTCCTGCCACAGAGCCAGCCCTGGGTCTCCCAGACCTGAGCCAGCACAGCCCCTCTCCCCAGCCCTGCCTGGTGTCAGCTGTAGCCAGGCAGCAAGGGGGCAGGGGCTGGGGGATGACAGAGGTTTGTCACACAGACCTGGCAGCCAATCAGGGTGGCCTAGCCTCTTGGCTGTATTCAGCATTCTCCAGCAGCCTGGGGAGCCTGTGGGGGCCTGCTGAGAGGCAGGGGGGACTGCCCTCAATGTGCTGGCCCCTACTACCCAAAGGGTAAATGTGTGTTCTGCTCACTCCCAAACTAACCTACATTGCTTACAGAAACCCACATAGGTTTGATTAATTCCATCTCAGGCTTTTTGAATGTCTGTACATAGCCTCAGGATGCAGCTACAAAGAGAAGTACATATGAAATATTAAAATTAAGACATTAATTAAAATACATTCTCCGATCAAGATTTTAACAAACAATCCAGTGAAATCGACTAAGAGTGTTGTTTCTTTTGACATTCAAACAACTTAAGGATCCTAGATTGACAAACCTGGAGATTGTGGTATCTTGTGCTATAAAAAGATTAACTAGAGGTTGAAATCCTCATCCCATTAGAACGGACTAAAGTTCTGCCACTGACCTGGGGCAAAGATTTCACCTACTCTTCACTTTATTACCTAATGCCCATCACACCTAGGTCTAAACAGGACACCTTCACTAGGACCCAGATCTATCCTGTTACTTTTGAGCTCACCAGTCCATTTTCTTTTGCCCCAATTCTTTAGAAAGCATGTTGAAGCTGGGGGCGGGGGAGGAGGAGTAGATATGCTGGAGGGTAGGGCTTGGATTCAGAGAGACCTCGACAAATTGGGGGATTGGATCAAAAGAAATCTCAGGAAGTTTAATAAGAACAAGTGCAAAGTCCTGCACTCAAGGTGGAACAATCCCGTGCACTGATACAGACTGGGGACTAACTGGCTAAGCAGCAGCTCTGCAAAAAAGGACCTGGGGCTTACAGTGAACAGTAAACAGAATGAGCGCCAGCAGTGTGCCCTTGTTGCAAAGAAGGCTAACGACATACTGGGCTGCATCAGTAGGAGCATTGCCAGCAGATTCAGGGAAGGGATAATTCCCCCTCCATTCAGCACTGGTGAGGCCACATCTGGAGTACTATGTTCAGTTTTGGGCACCCCACTACAGGTTTCCCTTGATTTATGCGGGTTCCATATATGCAAATTTGCTCTTATGAGATCACCCTTTTTCTACCCAAAATTCCTTATAAGCAAGGTAAATTCACTCTTATGCAATCAGGGCTCTGCTTCTCCCCACCCACCCCAGCCCCTGGGCTGCACCGTGCCATGGTGCAGGTAGGTGGTATTGGCTGCTTCCAGGTCTGCTGCAGCGGCTGGGGTGAGAGGGGAGAAGCAGAGACCCGAGAGGTTTGGGGCACGGTACAGCCCAGCGGCTACAGGCAGCTAGTGTCGGCTGCTCCTGCAGGAACTTGGGTGAGCAGGGAGGAGAGCCCCAGGCTGCAGCAGGCCGCAAGACACCAGAAACTGCAAGTGGTTGCAGGGCATGGGGCAGGGGGGTGCAGGATGGTGGGGGGGCACAGCTCTTACTGCCACGCATCCCCCAGGACAGCTACAGGCTGGGCTTTCTGGGGGGCCATATGCCCCCGGATCTGCATGTGGGACAACAACAGGCTGCTGCTGCACACTGGGGCCAGCAACACCACCGGGCTGGTGGTGGGCAGGTTGGGGGGGGCTACAGCAAATTTTAGGGTAGTAGCAACCCCCCTCCCAGCACTGCTGCCGCCACCCGCCTGGAGCACTGGGAAGAGCCCTGTGCCATGGCCGGCCCCAGCCTTGCTTGCAGAAATGAGGTGGTGGGACTAGGAGGGGGGCTGCTGCCACCCCAAAATTTGCCATAGCCCTCCCAACTGGCTCACCGAGTGCCAGGGCAAGCCTGGTGGCACCGCCAGCCCCAGCCTGCAGTGGCAGCCTACTGTTGACCTGTGCAGAGATCCGGGAGCCTGTGCCTACCTAGGAAGAGCCCAGTGCAGCCCCCGAGCCCACAGCCCTCTCAGGAGGCGTGTAGCACCAAGAGCCACAGCCCCCCCACCCCACACAGCTCCTGCTGCTCTGCTGCAACCCCAGGAGCTGCCAATGGGTTGCACTGCACCCCTCCTCTTGCCCCTTCCCTAGTCCCAGCCTTACTCCCTCCCTCACTGCAATGGGAACATATCCCTATCTGTTCTATTGTAAGCTGGGTTCACTTTATGTGAAGTCGATTAATGTGCCATTCTCCGGTAATGCATGTACTGCATACATCGAGAGAAACCTGTATAGAAAAGATGTGGAAAAATTGGAGAGAGTCCAGCAGAGGGCAATAAAAATGGTTAGGGAGCAGGGGCATATGACTTCTGAGGAGAGGCTGCAGGAACTGGGCTTACTTAGTCTGGAGAAGAGAAGACTGAGGAGGGATTTAATAGCAGCCTTCAACTACCTGAAGCATGACTGCAAAGAAGATGGAACTGGACTGTTCTCAATGGTGCCAAATGGCAGAACAAGAAGCAATGGTCTCAAAGTGCAGCAAGGGAAGTTTAGGTTAGATACTGCGGGGGAGGGAACCTCTCCCCTGAGGACTGTAGTAAAACACTGAAACAGGCTACTCAAAGAGGTTGTGGAATACCCATCCTTCAAGGTTTTTAAGATCCAGGTAGACAAAGCCTGCCTAGGATAATATAGCTGTGGATGGTCTAGTCTGAGCAGGGGTTGGATATCCAGGGGTCAAAAAAAACAGTGCAAAATAAAAAGCTGAGTGGCACATGGGAGGGCAGCATGCGCCACTCAAAACCAGAGCCTAGCCAGCTGCAGCTACACACCAGCTGCCAGGCAGGCTGCAAGTGGCAGCATCACTACTGCTGGAGCCCTGGGAGGCCCCCCAGGACCCCAGGTAAGGCTGCTGGGTCCAGTACAGTGTTAGCTCCAGCTTTCCCTATCTTACCCAGGGTAACCTGCCATGCATCAGCGGGCACGTGGCACAAGTGATCCCGCACCACTGCTAGTTGTCCCCAAGGAACCAAATGTCGACACTCATGTGGACACAGCCATAATCTGTAGAATACTTCTGAAGTCTTTCTTCAGGTTGATTTAAGCCTTCAATCAAACAGATTTCAAATTGTGTCCTGGCTCAGGAGTCTTTATCTCATTTAGCAAACCCAAAAACCAGCCAGTGTCCAAATGCTCTGCAAACATAATTAATCTAACTTTGAAAACAAAGAGCATTGAAAACATTTACCTACCTGCAGCATACAACTAAGTCCATAAACTAGTGGACGATGTTGTGGGCAGGAAAAGAAATCTGAACAGGCTAGCTGTACTGGGCTCACCATAGGACCAGGTGTAGTAGGACTTGGAGCTGCTAAAGGAGGATTATTTGATCCAATAATCATGTGAGGTGAGTGTGCAGCTACCAAGTTAGGACTATCACTTAGCAATAAAGATAGACGTCTGGCACAAAAATAAGCAAGGCGACGGGACAGGTAAGCTGACTGAACAAACTCTTCTGAATACTGAAACAGAAATGGCATAGTTATTAGTAAGCAGAAATGTTTTTCCAGATATTTCCTACCAATATTATTCTGATCTTTTGAGATACAGAGGCTAAAAAGGGACACCTAGCATACCAAAAGTGATCCATGTTTCTAGTACAGTGCTGGCTCTTTGAAAACTCATTGGTCTGTGCAAAAAAGTATTTTAAACTTTATTTTTGTTTTAAAAAACAACAAATATTTAATATTAAATTTTAGGATAGGAGTTCTTACAGTCCAAATGTCCAAGCATCCAGACAAACAAAAAATTATAGTATTTCAAAAGCAATATATACACACACAACATATGTATATATAAGCAATAAAGTATTTAATTAATTAGAGTTTTAAAAATATACTGAAAAGTACAAGCTAAATGTAAATGTTATATGAGAAATGTTAATCTCGAGTAAGGTATCTTTTATTTTTAAAGCAACCATATAGCTTTAAAACATGTATTGTACCTGTAGCATTAGTGGTAACAATAGCTTAAGAAGGTCATCATCGGTGGGTCTGATTTTTTCCAACACATCTAGTATCCATGTCAAATACTCATGTCTTTCAAGCATTCCTTCCTTAAAGAAATGTTTTTTTAAAGAATTGAATCAATTATTAAATTGCAAGCAGCAGACAAAAAATCTTGTACTTTTATTTGCAATGCTATTGTATCACACCACAAAGTTTGATTCCCCAGGACACAACGAACAAAGCTGATGCAGAGAAAGACCCTACATCCCTCAAAAAAAGATTCAATGCCAGTAACCTAGAAAGAAAAAGAAATGGGCAATAACCAACAGCTACTCAAACATCCTGGCAGATGCAGGAACCAGCACAAGCAGGAATGGTCCACGCACAGCTCAGATTCACCAAACTAAGAGCCACAAACACTTGACAAACTTTCTCCCAGTGTCAACCCTACCCCAGCAACTGGCCCCAAAGACTAAGTACAGACAGTCAAAAATCAGAGGCTGAATCAATTCAGTCTTTGCAGGTTAGTCTAATATGCACAGATTGAATGGAGAAGCAACTGAATTGACATTCACTTTTGACTCTGAAAATGCAGCCATGTGCCTTCAGTGGCCCAGGCCAGAAGCCAGGGGGGTGCTAAAGCATGCCTCCCTGTTCAGCTGGAACAGACAGCTTGAGTCAAAGCTAGCCCTCCCACCCTGAGAGGGCTGGTTTGCGGGGGAGGTGCAAAGCATCCTGGGATACTCAGGGACTGAGTTAACTTGAAACTGGAAAAACCGGGACAGAAATTCAATAAACCGATTTAACCTAAATCAGTTAAGTCTAATATCATATCCATCCAAGTTTATCTTAAACCACTTTCAGTCATTTTGAAAGTGGTTTATGTACACTGAACTTCTGTTGTTACAGATCTGAATTGATTTCCAATCACTGATACCAGTTTGTGTGTAATTTCTGTCCCTAGCCAAAGAGACTAAATTAGCCCCAAAAAGCTGTTTTACTGTAGCTACATAGTTTCAACACCCAAGCCGGCCCATTTACACTTCATTCAGTTATCTCCCTTCTCAGACCTTCAGCCTTACAAGGAGCAAGCATTCTCTCTGCATAACCTGTCTCCACTCCTTGGTTTTTGTCTCACAAGAACTCATCTCTTACTGTTAATAATCAGAGACAAGAAAGGATAGGAAGGCCACCTAAGGACTAGCCACGGAAAAACATATACGTTGGACCTTAGTGAGACAGGGGGCTCACTTTGGGCGAGGCTGAACATTAAAAAGGAAACATCCGAAAGTGTATTTTGTTTGGAGTAGAAACTGTATCAAGTAAAGTGGTGCTCCACCTTCAACCCCATCAGGGACTAATGGGCTCACATAGCTGTGCAAGTAGGAAATCAGAAAAAAAACAACTCCTGTATGCATGTGACCTAGCCTCAATTGCTTAGCAACTGCATATTAGTTAAAACATCCACAATGTAGATCATCCACAATGTAACCAAATCACACTACTTTTAACTTTATGCAAGTCAGAATTATTTCACTTAGATAACCATTATTCATTTGCCTGCATCTTAAAGTAAATATGGTCCTTACAGATGTGTTGCCCATATTACTTGCACATGTATGTGTGCATGCATTCCATCATTGGTGGACATGCTCCCAATGAATTTGACCTGCCTATGAGGGCAAAAAACTACACTATTTATATCCTCTTATCTCTACCCAAGATCTTAAAAAGCACTGCAATCCTACTTGCCTCTCCCTCTCTTTGACAAATTAGAATCCAAATGTTAGGCCAGGTACAGACATTACACAAACCAGCATATAAGTGATTGGAAACCAAGCTATACCTATAAACAGAACAGAATTTCAGGGCACAGACTAGTTTAAAACCAGTGCACCCAGGTCTAGGATAGACCTGGATCAACGTGGCATCAGACTTAAACAGTTTAGGTTACAGCGGTGCATCGAACTTCATGTTAGGTCACTGTCCACCAGCATCCCAGGCTTCTTCGCAGGCTCCCAATAGCCTCCCCTTATAGGGAGCCACACTGGAACTCCGCCGCACTCAGCTGCTCTAGCTAAGCATGCAGCAGGCTCTGCCTCGGGGCTGTTAGAGAGTTGAGCTAGCACAGAATCTCTCCCCAGCCCCATGTCCTGCATCCAGCCAGCTCTTAGCTGCAAGCAGGCAGAGGGGGAGCAGGACTGACGCTTCTGTTTCATGGACCTGGCTCTGGCTCTCAGAGTCAAGCTGGCCACAGAATCTCTCCTGCACCCCTCTCGCTCAGCCACGGGGGGGACCTGGGTGCCACCCCTAGACCCAGGAGGCACCAGTCAACGAGCTGGGAGCCATGGGGGGCCTCCCAGGGCACTCCCTGGCGGACCCAGAAGTGAAGGAAAAGTGCTTCTGGTCCACTTCCGGGTCTGCTGCCGAGCGCGCTGGGGAGCTCCCCATGCTCCTGTGGGATGCTCTATCTGCCACCGCATCACAGTGTTCACAAGCCGCGCCTGGTACCTCGAGGTATGTAGAAAAAACATTTAAAGCTGTGTCTATGTCTGAATCACCAAATCTTTCCAAATCTCTCCGAATCGATTGAGAGAGATTAAAGGGTCCTCCAATTCGATTTGGAGATTCGGCCACCAAATCGGGCGAAATCTCCGCCGAGTTAAATCAGGGACCGAAGCTTTGCACAGCCCTACTAGCTCGACTCTGACTGCCAGATCTGGGTCCATGCAAGAGACGCCTCAGGCACCCTCTCTACCCCTCCCTGCAGCTGACAGCAGGGGGTTGGACATGTGTGCCCAGCAGTCAATCAGGGGTGCCCCACTGCCCAGCTGCACTCAGCTGCCCTTAGAAGTCTCCAGCACACTAGAAAGTGTGTAGGAGTGCCCCCAACCTGCTGACCTTGGCCAGTGCAGATACCCTTCATGCCTGCCCCCAACCAAAGGGAGAACTTGTGTTCTGTTCACTCCCAAACTAACCTAGTCCACCCAAAGAAACCCATGTAAGTTAGTTCAAATCTGCCTCAGGCTTTTTGAATGTGTGTACCTAACCTTACTGAATTCAGACTCCATTGTAGTGAGGAAGAAGAGCAGCTCATAGAATACACACAGACAACCTAATGTAGCAGTCTCAAGTATTAGAACATTCATCTAAGGAAGAGATGCTTCTTATACTGGGCAAACTGTGCACAGTCACTCTACAATGCATCAAACTGTGTTCTGAATTAGCCAAACAGGAAAAAAAAACCTGAAAAGTCTGGAAGAAATTACCTGCCCTCTCACCTCTCTCCATAAGCTACAACTGTTGGCATGAGGTGGGGAGGAGGGCAACAGAGGAAGTACATTAGCTGTATGTGCATTATTTCTATCAAATAGGTCATTAGAATAGCTAGGTTATGAATCTTAGCTTTGCCTTTCATTCTGGCTTTGAGGGAAATACAGGCATATGCATAACATTATTTGGAAGAAGCTACACCTTTTGGGGAGAGGGGGTATGGTGTCAAGAACACCCCCTCACCTGTTTTTCATATGAAGTCATACATAGAAGCACTAATGGCAAGGTCTCTGTCTTACCATCCTTTCTGATCAAAGTTATTGCTGCCAGAAAAGCTGTTTTGATGGAAGGATGAGACACGCAAGACAGTTTGTGGCTGTAAAGGTTGAGCCATTAACCCTGTCAATACCATGCTTGGGTTCAGTTCTATATAGGTTTATATGCCACACTTGTCACCATAGAAACAAAGTACCATCATGGGTTTTGTTTTTTCACCTGCTCCCTAGATGCGAGACAGTAGCATGGTGTGTTGTTTAAGTTTGGAGTGTTTTGTGTTCTTAGGCATATCACAAGCTTTAATTCTGCTTATACTAAAGTTCATTTTAGTTCAACACTGAAAAACCCTGAAATAGTTTCATACTCATATAGAAAGGTTTTTGTCAAGCAAAAATTTAACATAATTTAAACAACTTGCAAGTTTCTAGTTGTGAGTTATAAACAAATGTACAAAAGTGACTAATTATTTTCAAATGCATTTTAAAATTTAGATCCCTAGCAGAGTCTCCACCAAAAAAAAAAAATCTCATTTCTGAGGAAAGGTTACCTGGAACATATAAAATGCCAATTTTTCATTATATTCCCACTGCTTCAGTGCTTGTTCCACCTCTTGAGGCACAGCTACAGAGCCGTTGCCTTGGTTTGTAGTCACATGATAAAATTCTGCAATCTTTGCCAGCTGCTCTCGAAGGTACCGGGTTAGGATTTGAGTCCATTCTATGAAATAAATTCACAGTTAAAATTGGAAAAACATTAATTTCCTTCTTAGGAGACAGCACTTAATTCTTCATAGCAAAAACTACAACTTTTTATTACCTTCCTAATTGGAACACTTTTCAAAACATTAAGCAGCAACTGTAAAAATGCAGCACCTATTCTGAATAAACAGGTTTTGTGCATGCTTCTCCTGTGCACTGTTCTTGAAGTGTACGCACCATGAAGTGTGTTACTAGGGTGCTAATTTAATGAATGCCTCCACCTGGAAAGATACAAAATACATGCTATGCCTTTAGGGCATCCCCTGTCTGCTCAACCAGGACTCAATATTCAACCACAAAGCAGCCTTGAAGAGAAACATAAAAATACATTCCAATTATTTACTTCCATCTGGAGACTTATTTCTCCCCCCAAAATAACAAAAATAAAACTAAACTGTTTTTTACATAAACAAGAGAAACTGAAAATAAAATTGTTTTTCCTGTGTTCTCTTGAAATTAATGTAGAACTCCTCCAATTTTAATTCTTCTCCAAAATCCAACTATCTCCAAGTAGTTTATTAGGTCAATAAACTGGCCAATGCAGCATGAAGGTTCACAAATAAGATCAGGAATAAAGATGAGAGAATCCCATATTTGAGTCATTTTGTAATGTTTATCAGAGACGCATAACAGTAGTCAAGAGCAAGCAGTACTGCCTCACAACCTAATCCAGCCAGTAATTCCACAGTGCAGGGTACTAAAGAAGAGTTTGAGGAAAATTAAACTAAACCAATTGATTAAAAAATGGCAATGGCAGAAATCCACTCAGTAAGCTCACCTTTGACAACCCTGAAGCATAGCAAAAGTTAACTACAATCCATTCTGCACCTAGAAGAACTAGTCATACACTGGCTATGTCAACTGTCAGCGCTGCCACCAAAACCCTCACACTGGTTTGAAAGGCCTTTCTTCAACACCTTAAATCAGAATTAAACAAGTTACCAACTCCTTGCTGCACAGGATAAAATGAGACGGTACATTACTTTAACACACAACCACTTCAGAACCATGACATCTCAGTACAACCACTTGGAAACCAAAGGTCTTCCATGCACAGGTTCCACCATGCCCTACATGTATAGAGTCAAGATCACTCCCAAGATAACCTTAGATTGATGAAAAGCAATGAGGCCACCTCATAACTAAACAATTGCCTCCTCATTTCTCAAGCCCTCAGATTCTGGGTCAGTAGACACACTTGTCTAGAACTTCTGTGAGGAACATCAGGACCACATGAAGACATGTCTTCCATCCTTAGCTATTCCATTGGTGGGTGGATGCTGACTCCTACCATGCAAGTTGTTCAGAATGTGGGAAAACACTACACTAAACCATGCAGTCTGCCACTGGATAAAATGTCTTTATAATGCTAAAAATAGCCACATCTACACCTGAGTGTACTTATGAGTGTCACATGATAATTCCTGCATAAAGCCCGTGTACTGTCAGAGGCAGGGGGTGCAACACTGTCAGCTGGTCAGGGACAATGGCAACTCACGGATGAAAGGGAGCCATATAAAATTTCAGTTAGGACCTACCAGTAGAATAACTGGGTGACGGTGGAGGAGCCAGGTGCCAGCTTAGAGGGGGCACTAATATGTCCCCCTGGCCCCAGGAGTCCTTGCCACTGCAGGAGTAGCCCTGCACCACCCAGCTGTAGGAGCCAGGCAGGCACAGCCCTATGCCCAGGAATGTGTCTGAGTGTTAGGGGGTGGAATGACCCTGTCCCCATTCCCCTCAAAAAAGACTTTGCCAAGCGAGGCACAGCCCTGCACCTGGGAGGAGAGGAAGAACAAACAATCAGGACACCAGGAGCAGCCCCTGGGGAGCCCAAGCTGCTGCCCATCCCTGACCAGCAGCAGCCCGAGCCGATTGACTAGGGACAAGCATTACATATAAACTGGTTTAAGTGATCAGAAACTGGTTTAAACCTGTAACTGAACAGATGTTCAGTGCACATAAACCAGCTTGGAAATAGGTGAAACTGGTTTGAGACACTACATTGAACCAAGTTGATCAGACTTAACTGATTTGGCTCAAACTGGTTTATGCAATGTCTGTCCCAGACCCCTTGCTGGTTTAAGTTAAACCAGACACCCTCAGCATCCCAGCATGCTCTCTGGGCTGGGTGGGGCTCTCTACTCCACAACAGGGCCAGCTTTGCATCCCTGCTCCCCGGCTGCAGCTCTGGCAAAGATTGCAGGCTGCTCCCTCCCCACCCCCTCTCACCACTCTGTGCTAAGCAGGAATTCCCCCCTTCCCTGTCTGGCAGAGAGGTATGTGTGTATTAGCTAGTAGACCACATGCTAGCTATGCTCTTTGCTGTGACAAAGGCAGAATCAAGAGGTAGCTGGTAATGTCCCTCTGTTTTCTTAATAGGGTGATAAACATGAATTAGGAGTGATAAACACTGTTATCAATTCCCTGCTGGGCTAATCAGAGCACCCAGCCAGGGCCTGGCCATGCTCCCCCCAGCTCAGTACTGTGGAAGGGAAGGGACGGCTGCTCTACCGCACCCCCCTCCGGCTTCTAGCCTGAGCCACTGCAGGCATGTGCCTGCATGTCTGGAATGAAAAGGGAATATCTATCCACCTCCAGATCAGTTCAAACTTTGCAGGTTAGACTAACCTGCAAAGATTGAATCAATTCAGGCACAAGCTTTCTGAACATCTGTCCCTAGCCATAGTGTTACAACAGCAGCTGCAGCACAAGCAACTACTGCTGAAATGAGCCAGGCAGGTAAGACTCCTCTCTCCTGCTCACCACCAGTAAACGTAATTCCCCAACAACCCTCACCTCTACTCTGGGCACTGAAAGAGTCATCTGAAAGCCTCTGGGATGTGGATGTCCTGTACCATCAAGGGTGGAACAAGGGGCAACATGTGTTTCGCCCATTGAAGCAGATCAGCTGTGCCACGATGCATCATGACACAGCTTATCCACTCCATTTGATGATATTTATTTCTTCAAGCATTTCTTCAAGCCCCTCCCATTCATTACACCCCAAAAAATCTTGCATCTTTCGACAAAAAGTTTCTCTACTCTGCACTCAGGGCATTTTTTCTGACATTTTGTGGACCATTTGTCCGATTTACATTGGTAACTTTACAACCTACTAATACCTTACTTTACAAAAACCAAATGCCTCTCTCATCCTGCAGGACTACATCCTTTTATGACTTACACACTTCACAGGGCACAACTGAGCATTAATAATCTGTGCATATGAAGATTTCTTTGAATGCAAAATTACCAGAATCTTTACAAACTTTGCTTTAGAATAATTTTATGTGCTGCCAACAGAGTTAGTTAATCCATAATATTTATTTTTCACTCCAAAGTTTGTAGCATTGCAGCAAATTGTCATTCAAAAATTTTGCAAAATTATAGTTGAGATATTTCTGTAATTCTTATTCTCAATACAGGAATATGGACAACAAGCAATACACAAAGTTGTGGAGACTTCATTCTACCTAATAGAATGGGGGGAGGGAAGGGGAGGGGAAACGATTACTATGTAAGCATCAGCCTGCTTCTGGATTGGTTCCTGTGTGATGGCAAAGAAAAAGTATGAAACCAGTCTAAGTCTAGACCAGTGGTTGCCAACCGTTTAAGGCTGCAGGCTATGCTGACCCAGTTTGCAAAGGCAGAAGGTTGGGTGGCCACCAGGACCCTGCCACCACTGCCGCCTTTCCCTGCAGTGGTACAGGGAAAAGCACCCACCACTGCAACTGCTTCCCCCTGAAGGCACAGGGGAAAGTAACAACTGCCAAAGCCCCCCACTGCTAACTGTCACCAAAGCCCCATGTGCAGGCTGGATCAAATGGCTCTGCCAGTCGTAGGTTGCCAACCCCTGGTATAGATTTTAAATTAAGGAGAGGTGAAAATGTAGGTGAAGCATCACTTTCTATGGAATTCCTCTTTTATACATTTAAGAGTTCAAGTGAGGTACTAAAGATATTTGTTATAATCACATGAAAGAACAATAAAGTTCTGCTTAATCAGCATCAAGCGTAACTTTAGAAGAACATTCTAGGTACATATTATAGTATCACTTTGTCAGTCTGACTCCTAGTATCAAATATCATTGTTTTCATGGTTGTCTGTGAACCTCACCTCAAAAATCACTTGTGCACTTCTGATTTTTTTTCTCTTTCCTATGTTTCTAATAAGAAATTCTCTTAGCACATATTGGAAAATTTCTCTTTACAAACACATCAGCTGGGTATAGGAATTTTCAGTGTTGTTTAAGCTCAAAATAGCTATACAGAAACATATAGAAAATATTTGCTTCAAAACACTCAGATTTGTAAAAAAAATTATTGCAAATCCACCATTTCACACTTCTTTTCATATCATACTATGAAAGGATAATTTTCCCAAGGCAATTTATTACCAATACCTCTGTGCCACTAAGGTAGAACGTGTAGAAAATGAATCTGTCATTACTCCAAGCATAGACCTGAAACATTTTTGAAGACTGCCAAAGACTAATCAGTAATGTATAGTATAATTACTCCCATAAAACTCTAAATAACCATTGCAAAACAGCAAATTTCCAAGGAAAATAACCCTTAGTACCCACTTGGTACAGTCAAAAGAAATCAAAATTGGAACACTCAACACAAGCCTAGTGTAGGAAAGTGCATCAGTCTTTGGTTACTCCTATTTTTTTTCTTCATCTGTCAAGGAACAGATTAAATGTAGACTAAACACCAGAAGCATCCATCCACACATTTTACCCTGTTATAGAGCACCAGCTCCAACCTGTCCAGTAAACAGAAAGTTGTGTCTACGATACTGGACCACAGCCTCAGCTGATATAAGCCAGTGCCATGATGATTCACACCAGCCTACTTTTCTGACAGTCAGGTTAGTGAGAATTTTTTGGTTTTCATACCATAACAGAGTTCATTCCAGACTGAAGAGCAAGGCCTTTATTGCAATCTCAACACAACA